GAATCTGCTTTAGAAGATATGCTTAGAGAGTAGAATTTTTTTCAATTGATATAACTAAATGTACTTCAAAATATAAAAGTTTATCTATCAGTTCTCAGTGCTATTCTTCTTATTATGCTTTTTCATATCATAATCTTAGTGATTTCATCTCTCTAGTCAGTCAGAATTTTAAATTTTTCTATTCTCTGAGGATCTTTCAGCTCAGCTCATCATTCTATCAATAGTCTTACAATTGCTAACAACTTCTTATTATAGATTTCATAGTTTCTCTCTGCTTTACTCATAGAAGCTGAGTAGAAAATAATAAAATATTACTGTTTATTCTCATATAGCTGAGATAGGACATTAGCTATAGCATCATCTAATATATTCATCTTTATCAGAATTTCTCAATTTGAGTCATAATAACAGAGCATTGAAACTTCAAACAGAACTTTGTTTATTTGATTAAAGACATACTAACAGATCTCATTTCACTTGAAAAACTGATTCTTTTGAGTGAGCTTAAACAGTGATCTTATGATTCAGCTGTATTCTTTGATAAAACACTGATAAAAGTTGCAGAATCTTAAGAAGAATTGAATTTTCTTAACTGTATTAGATACTGTTCATTGTGATATTATTGTAATCTTTTCTGAGTTCACTTTGATCTTTTAATCAGTGATAATAAAACTCAAATATTTTATTTATTGAATATAAAACTCATATTTTGAAATGTTTATCTATAGTTCAGCTTCTCATAATCTAATCAATATTTTTTTGACATACTTCTTATATTCTTTTAAGATTTTACTATAAATCAGCAGATCATTTATGAAAGTAATTATGAACTAATTCAAGTAGTTGAAGAAGATAGTATTCACAAAGCACTGAAAGATCACTGAGTCATTACTTAGATCAAAGAGTATGATCTTATATTTATATATTTTATAGCATATTATAAAGTTTGTTAAAATCTCAGTCTCAAAGTGCATATATATTCAATAAAAGTCTTGATGAATGTTCAATTCGATAAAAAATTTGATTTTATTTAACTACTTTATGAGCTCATTAACTAGTGAAATCAGATATCAATCTTTTTTTAAAATTATATTAAACTGATGATAATTTATGCAGAATCTAAGCTTGTCTGCTGTATGAGCTATAAAAATTGAAGATATGAAGAAGAAGATTACTAGTAAGATAAAACTCTTCTCTAGATTAGTCTCAAGATATTATTTAATTGTTTCAAGCTCTTCTAAGCTCATTTAGTATAATGATATATGATTGATAGCTTTATTCAAATCTACTCTCTTCTCAGGCTCAATATTATAATTTACTTTTTTTTGAAAAAGTGATAATTAATCAGAGACTGTCTTTGAAAAAATATTATAAAATTTCTTATAGTTCTCTGATAGCTGTTCATCAACTATCTCTTTATTCTTTAGTTTTGCATTAATAATAATCTTCTTCTTCTCAATAATTCTATCTATTTTACAGAGATTTGAAATAAAAACCTCTGACTTTTTACTTCTTTCATGATGATAAAAGATTACTCTCTCAATGAATATCATTATTTGCTGCTTGTATAATTTATTTTTTCATTGAGCTCTCATAGAGTTTTTTTGCAATCTTTTACTTGAATTTCTCATTGATAAATCTATTACAACAGTCTGCATCTTATTAATACTTTAACTTTATTACTGATTTTTTCAAAATTTTTTTTAAAATTATTATATTATATTCTTCTGATATATTATCTGCAGATATTTATACACTTAATTATACTAAATATTAATTTTTTATATCTAGTCAAATCTCTTGCTTTGTCAGTTAGAATTATTCTAAAATTACATCAGTACTTTTCAGATCTATCATTATCATTAACATGTTGAGAAATCTTTATTCATTTACTCACAAATGTAGTAAAATAACTTCTATAATTAAAGTTTCTTTTTGATTATTGAATTTCATGATTTGATGATTCTTTTTTAGCTTCTTGAGATTTATTTTTAAGGCTTTAATATATCTATATACAAAGTTTGTATCAATAAAAATACAGTAGTTTGCTCTAGAATTTACTAGTACTTTTATAGAAATAGTATATTCATTAAAAGCTACTTTAATATATATAATAAAAGAATTTCTGCTCATTAACTGATTCATATTCAAAGTTTTTAATGTAATTATTTTATCTGAGAAAAAGACTTCTCTTATATTTAATCTTTTTCTGACTCAGTAATAGCAGTTTTATTATTTACTTTCTTCAGTTCTGTCTTTTACTTATGTGAATAATGTCATACTATATGATCTTTATTTCAGCAATTGAAGCATTTCACATTCTTTTTTCAATTTTTATTTTTTAGTCTATTCTCAATTGTCTGTGTTAATGTGGCTGAAGTTTTTTCACAGCTGGTTCAAATAATCAAAGCCTCTTTATAGTTAAGTAATTGTTAGTTGTTTTAACTAGACATGCTTTTAAGATAATAAGCAATTCAGATATAGATGTATTGAACTTTATAAAAGTTGTTGCAATTGATATAAATAGCTGCAATCATACATTGAAAATCAAAGAAAATCTTATGAAGAAAGTCTACTTTATAATTTTTCTTATGAATTTTAGCTTCACTCACCAGATGTAAGAACTTAGTCACAAATATATGATAGTTATCTTCATTTCTAATTATCAGTTATTGATATTTCATCTTTACATTCTCAATTTTATTGACATTCTTATATATTTTTATAGATATTTGAACACTTTCTTAGCTATTTCAAACTTTTTAGAATGATTTTTTTTTATTTTTAAAGCTAAGTATCTGGCAGCTTCTTTTTCAGTTCAATTTTTAATATAGATAATACAGATTTTCTCAGTTGAAAAGTAATCTATGTTGATAGCTAGCTTGCATTTTATTTAGAAGAGCTAGTTTTCAAATATCAGTTCTTTCTCATTGATGAGATGCTTAAAGTCATCAAGTTTGACTAATTGTTATATCTATTGAATGTTCATCAGTCTGATTTGAGAGATTAAATAGTTCACAATCTGCTATAAAATATTTTATTTCTCTATCAAGATGTTTACTTGTTGATTAAGTTTACTTATTTGCTTTCTCTACTTATTTTGTTCTGCTCTAACTTTTTCTAAAGTATCTTTTACCTTATTCATAAGATCAGCAATCTTTTGATATATTTGATTTCAATTCTCTTCAATTGACATAAGAAATTATTTTTTTAATATGAGATTTCTTAATTTCATATTTCTCTCAGTCAAGGTCATCATATTTTAGTCTGATCTTCATAAACAGTCAAACTCCGTAACTGCTTCTAACATCTTAGTAGTATTTTCAAAGGTTCAAAACAAAAGTTAGCAAAGATTCTCAGAGGTTTTTTATCTAAAAAATCTACTTTAAAAAGGGCAAAAAAGTTATTGATTTTAGTATTATATTATAATTTCAATCTAGATATAGATGAACAGGTGTTCAATTGTTAACTAAATAAACTATCTGAGTAAATATTAAGATAATTTCTAAAAAATGAGTTTAGAGAAGACTCTGTTTATATAGCTCTTTTCTTAGCATAGTTATTATGTGATTGCTACATTTACATATTATTCATATATGAGATAATTGTGAGGTTGATTGCTATGTTGATGTCTAAACAGTCTGTGATTATTGTGTCTAAACAGTTGCAATTACTGTTCACCTCAATTTTATGCTATTGAGAAGGCTACAGAGCTCATTCTACACTATCACATTTCTATGAACATTGTCTTTCTTTTTTCTTGCTTTTTACTCATATCTTCTGTTGATATCAGCCACTCTAAGTAAAAAGTTACTATTCAATCAGTTGAATATCTCTTTATATATTTCTGAGAAAAAAATTTATAATAAGATAATATTTCACTTGATGACTTCAATCATAATCACAGAATAAGTTTGCAGTATGATTTGAGAATATAACAGAATTTAACTAAAGATGCTGACATCAAATCACAACCTCTATCACTGATTATATGATTGCTATAAATGAGAATGAAAACATACATATAACTAAAAAGAATATATATCATTTAGCATATATTTTCTTTCTTCATTTTGAAAGAAAGTGAGGAAGATGACCAATAAATTATAGATAATGACAATTGAATTAAGCATATAGAATGTTTGCATAAAAAGAAAAACTGACAAGTTTATCCTTATAGCTTATTTAAATATATATTATGTAGATAAGAAAGATTCATTAGCTCTGATCATCTGACATTTCATATTTTGCAACTCAACATCTTCAGATCTTGAATTCAAAGGTTTCTGCTTACAAGAAGAGTTAATTCAAATATACTTCTTTTCTTTAAATGCTTGACAAAACTGTTTTGAATATAATCTCACTATCTAATCTTCAAGAAAATACTAGTCTACGCGGAAACCAATATTCATGAAATGATTTGATATCATCAATCATTTAACTGGCTTGATATATTTTTTCCAGGTGATTAATCATTCATGTTTCCCACTGAATCTCTATGCTGAACATTGATGCTCAAATGGAGAATTTCTTAAACATGCATGGAAATTTGCAAGAAATTCTGCTTTCTTCTTCTCTCAGTTTGATTTTTCCTGAGACTTAGAAGGAGGCTGTCATCCACTTTTCAGTGTAATTACAACTCGATGGTATTGGCGTGCCGAACAACCTATTCGAGTAGCTGCGTGGTACTCAACCAACGGGGCTTGCAATCATAAATGGCGTCCGTGCTGTCGTACGACCTAGGCCATATTCCATCCGCCCTCCTGAAACCGTAGCAGATGTCAGTTTTTAGTTGATTTCTTTAAATTCCTCACCTCATCTCCATACGGGCTTTGCCTGCACGTATAAGAAATAAGATTTAATGACTCAGCGGAGGATTTTCCTTTTCACGGGACTTAGTTAAAATCATCAGTTCGCCGCGAGCATATTGGCAACTGGATGATAATATCTCGTCCGCCCGCTTCCTCACAGCGGCAAGCCGTCGAACGCCTTCGCACGGATCAAGCCGACATAGGATCAAGTAAAATCCAAGGGGTCCGTCCCATGTATGGGAAGCGGTGCTGGAACCAAAAGGCCTATTTGTGGATCAGGATGTCAGTGTTGGTGTCGATATCGGTGCGACTGTAGCTAGCGTCTTCGGACCTCTAGTCCTCTCCACCTTTAGTTTTGATAAATTTCGTTCCTCACCTCTGAACGCATATGCCCTTTGGTGCTGTTCAGGAAATTGCCATTCTCACCAGCTGCTGGGCTGCGCATAAAGCCAAGTTGAAATCCATTATCTTTGCTGTTTTCATGGTATCTGTCATTGTTGGGGAAGTGATGCTTTTGCATTCGACAGAAGACCTTCTGAGACGGCACCTCTTGTGGTAGCTTATTACCTGCTCGCATGCCTTTTCCCGGTAATCCGCTCACAATCTCATGGATTGTAGAGGGGAAAAAAAAAAAAAAAAAAAAAAAAAAAAAGGCTGGAAATATTGTTGGTCCCCTCCTCTTCCATCGGAAAGACGCACCGGTCTATCATCCTGGCCTGCATGTGGTGCTCGGAGTATTCGTTGCAACGATTGCGATCATCGGCATTCAGGTCAGTAACTTGATGGTGCTAAATAAATTGCAGAGCAAGAAGAGAGTTAAGAATGGAAAGGCGGCAGTCATTGTGGATCAGTCGATGAAGACGAACCATTATGCTCTCGAAGGTGTGTGGAATGCTGTTTTCAGGCCAACGAGCCTGTCTTGACTTCACAGATCAGCAGAATGACGAGATTGTTTAATATCTATTTAAAAATGTGTTTCTCTGTTTGACATGACCTCTCTCATGCATGTGCAAAGTATGGGTGTGGTGGTCAACGATTATGGCTCCTCTCTGCATTCACTGTTGCACCCCTCGTTGCTTATTCTCGAGGCTGATTGTTTTTGTCGAATTAACCGCACCATTCCCAAAAGCAGAAATATAAACAGTCCGGGTGTGATTGTCGAGTTGTACACAGGTTGACGTCGCATAAATTTGTTGAGGTCAAGGAAGGAGGGCGAGGTTATATCCACGCTGGAAACACCTTAGAGCCGCCGTACTCGGGCCGGCGGGGGCAACAAAAAGGGCTCAAAACCTCAATCTCCGGGTGCAGCCAATGAGGTCATGGTGCAGGCAAGGGCTGGCTAGTGGGGGGCACCGATGACTTGATAACAATGGATGGTTAATCCCAAACAGCTTAACTAAGTGATAAAGTTCTTCTAATGTTAGATTAGAACGGAGCCTAGGGGGGAGGGGACACTGCGAGCCAAGGATAGTTTAATAATGCAGCATGCATTCCTTGGAGTTTGTAACCATCCACGAACCCATTCACGAAATCTGCGGATCAGTTGGGACTCAGGAAGTTTATCTTCGCTTCATTTAATGGAGATCTTCTGCCCAAGCACCCTTTAATTGCTTGTGTGCTGCGTAGATCGGATAGACGGATTGGGCCGGATTACTATGAAATCCCGTATGGCCTGTCTCTCGAAACGAACCCAAGGCCGTCATCGGACGTGTGATGGGGCGCGGGATCCTCCGAGGTGGTAGTCAACTAACCAGTATGGACTGACTACATACGGAACTCTGCGCTCAACACCACCATACACAAGCTTGGCTCAGGAAGGGGAACAGGATGGATTCTCGAAACATGGGAAACCCAATGAACCAGAACATCACAGTTGGGCAGTTCTGGTGGGAAGAGAGAGCTGTCATTCCTTTTCGTGTGTTTGGTCCAAACATGTTCCTAGGTACGGGGTACGTCATTCCACCCAATCAAGCTCCAATTCAGATTTCCCCTATTGGCCGATTTTTGGGTTTTAATATTATATTATGTTATCTATTTTTCATTTTTTATTTTTTATTTTTTTTATTATTTATTTTTTTTTTTTGGCTTCCTTGGTCTTCCGCTCCGTTTCCGGCGCGACAAACGTCACCGCGCAGTCCACACCACACAAATGGAATAATAAAAATTAACCGTAGGCAGGAGATTCTAATATGAATGACCAACCTCTATACCCTGGCCCAACCAATCACCATTGCATGCATACAGTTATCTGGGTAATTAGTCAAGATAAGAGAATCGATCCCCCCCCAACAACAACCGGCCCTTTGAGATCGGCTCCCAGGAGGAAAAGGAACATACTTCCAAACGAGCGGCAAATTTGCCTTCTGCAAGATTTTCTACGCTTTAAAATTTATTTAATCCTTCCTTCGCCTTCGTCTGCGTCTTCCTCTCCATCCCCATCTCCATCTCCGCCTTCACTTTTCATTTCCGTCAGCTTTCGCGAGGTCGATTGTCCCTCTGAAAATATAGCTATAGCTGTCAGAGAGCTTGACCCCTGGTCCTTGCCCTAGTCCCTTCACGCCAACGCCTCAATTATCCATACATTTCATTCCGTAATTTCTACAGTAAACATCACCATCCGAATTTCATATTCGTGCCCCTCTGAGAGAGGATAAATCCCCCAGTTGTGCTTCGATTTCTATCCTCTTTCATATCAGTCCAGGGAACCCGGTGAATCCAGATAAGTTAGAAATGTCTCATCTCGCTGTTGAACCCGAATTCGAGCAGGCCTACAGAGGTGGGTGTTTCTCCTGCCCCTCTCCCTCCATTAGCTAGCGGCAGTCCAAGTTTTAGTATGCTCTTCCGGCGCAGAACCGGCCCAAGCAAAGGAATCATAATGCGGGAAACGGCAGTGATCTTGGCGTTTTGCCCCTTTGGATTTTTGGATTTGGGGGGAATCTGAGCTTTCAAAGATAGTTCTAACCACACACATGCACGGGTCGCAATAAGTACTGATGATTTTTGAATGCAGAGCTGGCCTCTACCCTCGAAAACTCTACTCTCTTTGATCAACACCCGGAATATAGAAGAGCTCTTGCGGTTGCCGCTGTCCCTGAGCGCACTATCCAGTTCCGTGTAACCTGGGAAAATGACAAAGGAGGGGTATGTGACAAATAATGGATGTTATATCATTTGGATATATGCATGCCCTAATCCGCATCTGCTTTTATGTAGCTGGAAGTCAACCGGGGCTATCGAGTCCAATTCAACTCTGCTCTAGGACCATACAAAGGCGGCCTCCGATTTCACCCTACAGGTATGAACCATTTCGCCATGACTGACTGTATTTGCAATTGTTTTAATACTGACATTTCAATTCCTAGTGAACATGTCCATTCTGAAGTTTTTGGGATTCGAGCAGATATTCAAAAATGCTCTAACGGGATGTAAGTATTGAACCACAGCAAGCGGAAATTCACTCAAAACCTGGAGAGAAATGAAGAAGAGAAGGAAATCAACGTGATGTCCAGGAAGTTAATATAGCCTTTTCCTCTCTACTAGTGAACATGGGCGGCGGAAAAGGAGGTGCCGACTTCGACCCTAAGGGAAAATCAGATAACGAAATCCGAAAGTTCTGCTCTGCCTTCATGATGGAACTGAGCAAACATATCGGAGCTGATATTGACGTCCCCGCCGGCGATATTGGCGTTTCTGGACGTGAAATCGGATTCCTGTTCGGTGCATACAAGAGACAGCGCCATCTCTGGGAGGGTGTATTGACAGGCAAGGGACTCAGCTGGGGCGGAAGCCACATTCGTCCCGAGGCCACTGGATATGGTCTAGTTTATGTATGCTTCTCTTCCCCCCCCCCTTTTCTTTTCTTTTCTTTTTTTTTTTTTTTTTTTTTTTTTTTTTTTTTTTTTTTTTTTTTGGTTAAACCACTCGGTTGCGCACCTGTTTCCTGAGTCAAGTTTACCTAATCAAACCCACCTGTTTCTCACGTTAGTACGTTCAACACATGATCGATTATGCCACGGACGGTAAAGAAAGCTTGAAAGGCAAACGCGTCGCTATCTCAGGCTCTGGCAATGTCGCCCAGTACGCGGCGCTCAAAGTCATCGAGTTCGGCGGCACCGTCTGCTCCCTCAGTGACAGCAGGGGTTCTTTAATCGCCCGCGAAGAGGGAGGCAGCATTACTCCGGAAGAAATATACCTCATCCAACAGATCAAAATTGAACGCAAGCAACTATCCACCCTCGCAAGCACCGATCCTATCCGCGAACGATGCAAGTACGTCGAGGGTGAGCGGCCGTGGACTCACGTTGGCAAAGTTGATGTCGTCCTGCCCTGTGCGACACAAAATGAAGTCTCCGGCCCAGAAGCACAGGCACTGATGGAAGCTGGCGCTAGATATATTGCTGAGGGATCCAACATGGGCTGCACGCTGGCTGCCATCGAGCACTTCGAAGCTAGCCGTCGCTTCCATTCTAAGGGCAAATCCGTCTGGTACGGACCAGGCAAAGCCGCCAATGCTGGTGGTGTTGCTGTCTCTGGTCTGGAGATGGCTCAGAATGCCCAGCGTCTGACGTGGACTGCCGCAGAAGTTGATGAAAAGCTGAAGCAGATCATGAGAGACTGCTTTGTAACTGGTGTTGAAACTGCGAAGAAATACACACACCCTGACGAGGGGAAGTTGCCTTCGCTGGTTACGGGGAGTAACATCGCTGGCTTCATGAAAGTTGCTGAAGCAATGAAGGATCAGGGTGATTGGTGGTGAATGGTCTCCTTTAGCATGTTGACTTTAAAGGAGTTTTGTATACATCACGTCACTTTTGACCTTCCAGCATTTTCGCGATAGGGAGTCTCTGTTATTTTTTCGTTTTTCTTTTTTACTTTTACTTTTATTTTTATTTTTATTTTTATTTTTATTTTTATTTTTTTTTTTTTGGCGTTCGATATCCTTTATATGCTCCGCTGTGCTTTTGTTGGCTTTCTTCTGCATGGGATCTTCGATGTCATGTCTGTCAAATAGATCTTACGGCAATGGCTTTGGGCGGAACAGGCTTTGGGATTTTTGCATTTGCATTTGCTTGTTCATTCTATTTTCTGTTAGGAAGTTTGGGCCTTTGCTAATGTACTTACCAAATTTTCATGCACATAGATTCCTCTCCATGGTATTGAATGAATAGCAGCTTAATACTTCCTTGTCCTGAAGAAAAATTGCATATGTAGGAGACACATATGTGTGGCATACATTGACGATTCCCAGAAATTGACGATTTGTATAATTATTTTGACTGGATTGTAAACCAAGAGATCATCAATTACAGGAATGGAGAGACCGCAAATTGGTTCTCGAAGCCATGGCTCCATTCGCAAAGCATCTTTTCTTTTGGTGTTAGATATTTAGCAATTGTAGCGGAAAGCGAGTGAAGAACTCAGCCTCCGGGAGGCAGATAGATGTACGTTTAGAGAACATATTTTTGCCATGTTTCCTGCTTAAGGGATAGCCATACTACCGTACAGTAGTGGCATTGATATTCCGGTTCAGAAGTGGATAAGCTTCAGCGGCAATGTCACTTTGGAAAGTAACATAATATCAGCTCGACATTGTGCAATTTTTAGCTCCTAGTTACCTGCTTTATAGCTTGGGAGACTGCAATTGGAATCCAGAATTTCTTTCTTGACAATGCACATTCAATTGCGCACCATGGCTCACGCTGGCTTGGGCAGGTTTTTCTCTCTGTGCCTAGGTGAGGAGTGAGGATTAAGAACGAGTCGACGTTCAATCGCCATGCAAGCCCTGATGGATGCTTTGATGAGTGCACTTGATGCATAATTCATGATTTGAAGCCACGTTGGGTTTGAATGGGATATTCCAGCAGATCAAGAGCTTGGGTTGAACGTTTACAAGAAGAGAGAAATGAGAGTTGGTTAGCCGGCCACGATTCTTTTCTGCGGATATCAGAAAACAAAACTTCAACTACATAATCCTCAACTCCTCAGTCGGCTTAAGCCTCGGTTTATTTAGCTGTCACAGTGATAGCCTATTCGGAAGAAACCTAGGGAATGGTATGACCCGCATCCGGTAATATCCAATCCATTGCCCGCATAAGTGCTGGAAACTAACCGGCCACTTCCAGACTGATGAACACCAATATCGAATATGAGCAGCTGATAGTTCGGGCGAATGTTCTTCGTGGGGAACTCCATCCTGGAATCGAAACTGTGTTGAATGACATGATCAGGTTCAAGGTGCACATCGAGAAGAGGCTGGAAGATTACGAGAGCTTTGTTGCGGATGAAGTCGAGCAGGAGCTCGGAGGGGACAACGCAGCAAAAACTTCCAACTGGCATTCGTCTGACCAAATTTGCTTGGTAGATCCGTACGTAGACCTATGCTTTGACACCGCTTGCGATTTTTTCATGATAACATACTTATTCAGCTTAAAAGCTGGGGTCGGGACTCCCGAAGCAAGGCAAGGAGGCAATGAGGTGATGAGGTAATTAGGCAACAGAAGCAGAATGTGATAAGCGACCCTGATCGGTTATCAGCAGATTGAAAGAATTCTCTTGGACAGCTATGTTTGCCACCTGTTTCTCGAACCGAGACGAACGGACTCGCATAGCGATAAGAAAACCCTCCAATTTAATTGCTAGGAGAATATGGGGCTGATGGATCAGCTGCCGGCGAGTTTGGGCCGATCTTAAGAAGCTATGTAAATTGCAATCAGCATGCACATACTGCGCACATACAGATATGGCTCGTTCTCCGTATTCACTTCCGCGGCGTCGGCGTCCGACTGCAGGAAGTTTCCACAATCCCACCGCATCCCACCGCAACGGGCCAACCGGCAGACGGAGAATCTTACCCTCTGTGGCTGAACAGTTTATTCCCAGCCACAGGCACTATTAAAAATAATGTCGGTCTCAGCCTCACTGGGGCGCTTTTTATGTTCAGGTTTGTGCTTATGAGCTACAAACAGAACCTCAGCTCTGACTAGGTGTAATGTTTACAAGGCGCATTCACTTCAACCGCTCCTCTTTCATGCTTGGACGTCATGAAAGGTTTTATTTGCAAGATTCTGTTATTGATATTGAAGTGCGCATATCCATTGTCCCAGCTTTAGCTCTACGTATCCAGAATGTGGTAAACACCCCGACATTTGCCATGATACGCTTAAGCACTGTGCTGGAACGTATTATGCAGACAGCTGAGGAAATTCTGATTAGCGTCCGCCAATCTTGCAGGTTGATATAGATTATTTCGAATTAAGCGAGAGGTAAAATTTACCGAACTCTGAGATTGAAGCTCTGTGAAGGAATCTCTCTGTCTGTGCATGCGTCATCTTCTTGGGATTGATTGTTGATCGATCTGATCGATGGACTAAGATATCCCATGCACGCACACATATGCTTGCCAGCAGAACGAATCCCTGAATGTAGTGTGACTTATTATTATAAAGCTAAATGGAACGTGTACCTTGGCAAGAAGAAGTAGATTGAAAAAGATCAAAATTTAAGCGCCGGAATTTAAGCTTGCGTGAAGGAGTTTTGTTTTCGCCTTCCATGATTGCTAGGGGATGATTTCTCCTCTCGACGAATTGGGGCCTTTGTTCTATGTTGATCAATTAAGGTCATCTTTCGTCTTTTCATCACTCATCCCGCCACTAGTAGTGGTTCAGTAAAAATCCATCATCTTGAATAGTCCCGCTTGCTTCGTCGGTGCACCGCCACACCTTGGACGTCATCGCGGACAACCCACCAGTGCTCATGGCTTGACCAAAAAAGACAAAAACCGAAAAAGAAAGATTAGGCGGACGCATCCTTTTCGGAGAGCTCTATGTGGATTGTGTATGGAGCAAACAAACAGATTGACAAGTTTGTACCATTGCGCTTCCGCTGAGTGAAATACAACTGACGGAACCCCATAATTCATGCTTGCTGTGGCCCGACGTGCGGGGCTACAACAGATCCGTTCCCGACCCCTCGTCGACCTACCTGACTCGATGCACCTCGATGCAGTTGCATGCAACGGCAATTTTGTCTTCTGGCACCGTTCTACGCCAAACAAGCCTCATTGGTAAAACCCTTTTAGTTGTCATGGTCCCTGAGCATTGTGTTTACCTCATACTAGAATGTGGCATGTCATGAAGGATTATTTTCAGCTCACAATAGTCTGGACTCTGCATTGGCTGAGACTTTCTACTTTTAGCATTCTTGTGTATGGCCAGGTAGTTAAATCTGGAGGCTGGAGGCTGACGAAAAAGGTGATGTTGGTCCTGTGCATCTATCCTTAATCTTTAAACAGCGGTCCAAAGGTATTTTGCTGATTTCTCTAGTTAACAATCATTAGGCTGGAGACCAGCAGATGGCCTTTTAAACACACACACACACACACACACACACAAAAAAAAAAAAAAAAAAAAAAAAAAAAATCCCGGCTGACATGCGATGTTCCGAACCTCCATCAGGGTTGTCTGATAATCCTTAAAAAATATGTCGAAATTGAGGACAGATAATAATAAACATCAGAACTAATCAATCAATTGTGTTCCAAAGTCATTCCTGTCTATGAGTGAGCGTGTTGTATGTTTCAGGTCTAAATATGTCCCAGATAATGGGGATCGAATTTCATCCGATGAAATGAAACTTTTCCAAGGCGCTGACGACATGTCAAAAACACAGCGTCCAAAACGATTCCAAATCTTCACATGGTCAGTTCAACTTACAAGCCTTCCACTCAAAACAAATGTAAAACGAAAAGAGAAGAGAAGAGAAGAGAAGAGAAGAGAAGAATAATAAGGGCGACCTCTGAGATTTGGACTTGATACAGGCCACATTACCCCTCGCGGATCTGCGTCACTACGCCCAATGCCACTAAGGCGGAATCGTTACTTCGGAGGATGTCGCCCGTTTAACAACCGACTGATGAGCAAGGAAGCGTGATGAACAAACTCCTTTGACCAACAGGATTCCAAGAAGCACTGTCCTGGCCGAATATCAGCAACTAATTCCAAGCTAGGCAGTCGTAGTAGCTTGATCTATTGATCGTAGTCGGCCCCAGCGGCTCCACCAGTCCCCACCTTGGTAATCTTCTCTTGGCCGTGGGCAAAGTTCATTGCCCTTGACCAGCAGTAGTAGGCTTATGAAGCTTCGAAATAGCCTAAAGTTTTATTTCAAAGTTTTATTTCCGGGGTATTCCACCTGTTAATATTTATATTCTTGTGGCCAAAAAATGACCTTAGAGGGAGCGACCACAGCACTCTGGCAAACGACAACAATAATGCACTTGAACACGGGGAAACGGGAGAGATACTCAGAGGAATTCCAATCATTTTAACACAGCTTAAAGCACAAGAGAATGTAGCAAGTATTATTACCAACAAAAGTACTCCATAATTACTGTTTGTAACAGTGTAGGCACCGCGCGTGCTTACATCCGCCGTGGGGTTGTTCCAGGAGGATGGGTTATGATTATTGCCATTTCAAGATACGGCTCCACCCAACATCCCTGCTAGGATTCCCGATTTGGCATGGGTCGCTCCCGATTTTCAACTTCACACTCCACTCGCGAAGCCCCAAAATACACAACCATTGACATCCAATCATCCGCTGGCGCCATTGCAAGTTCAGCTCTCTTGAGAGGCGCCAGGAGAGGGGGAGCTGCCAATGGAGATGTTGCTGTCTTGCAGATGTGTGCTTCGCTTGTTCACTCAGGCCTAAGTTATTATTTTCCAAAGCTTGGCTATCAACCCTTGCAACACGTTGTTTAAATTGGATTTCTGACCTTCACCTAATCCAGAGCTGAAGTTACGGAAATGGGCAAAGATCAGCACTTTAACATGCTTCGCGCTGAAAAGAGCAACCAAGAATGACGTTATTCAAATCCAGGACACGAGCGGTATGCAGCAAGAGTTACCACTTGTTCACGCATCTTCATGGAAATCGATGCAATTGATTACGGGTTCCACCAAACAGTTCCTGGTCGGGGAGCCGCCTCGCACTGGCTTGTGGCAGCGGGGACCAAAAGACGGCGATCCCTGACCAGACTTGAATTATGCGGGATTTGAAAGAGGTGAATATTGGAATCATGGAATAACGAAGCTTGGGTTTAACATGATGGCAACTACCTACGCTAGTTATAGGTAAATATTTACCTAATCAACCCATGGTTCTTGGTTGAATTGCACCCTACCTTAAACATTATGACTTAGGTGTGGTCTGATCGCAACTTGGCCCGTTAGTCAACCCTGTTCAAGTTGTACACGCACAGGAACACCAGATTATTGTGTTCCAAGGCGCCTGAAAAGAGACCACAGGCGGGCTTGAACTGTAACTATCTACCATGTTAGCATGCACTTTGAAAATTTTTTTCCACATCTGCGAAGTGATGAAAACAAAAATAAAGAGCCAGTGGAAAAGAAAACAATAACGACCAGGGGTGAGGTCGATCGAGGCGGTCACTAGTGACGAGGATGGCATAGAAAATCCAACGAGCCGGGTTTATTTTTTGGATAGCCCAAGCCCCTGGCTACAATGCACCAGTATCTCACGATCTCAGTTGATTTTGGCTAGGCGATACGCTCCCCACCAACGTAGAGGTTTTGCCATCTGGTATTGTTTTTCTTGCTGTACTTGCAGGTACGACGGTTACCAGGATTTGAGGAACTTAAGCTGCGACACCGTTCCCTCAGCTTATATACCCCTACAAAGTACTTCCAGGAACATAGTTTCTTCCTCTCCGGAACTTCAATATCTCAACGGCACCATTTCAACCCAAGACTTTCTGCTTGGGTTTGGATAATGTGGGTAAGATTGCGACTTTCTCTTTAAGGTCAATTGGAACCCACCATACTGGGAATACCTTAATATTTTATTTTTTAATCGTCTTGCGTTGATATTCTTCGTATCTTCTCCTGAAATCCCTCATCCACTGGTTTTTTTTTTTTGGGGCGCATTTTATCTATTTGCCCATCTTCCCATGCGCACATCATTGGGATTCCTCTCGACAAATGTCCTTAGGAGAGACTCACCGCAGGACAGAATCTGGCTTAATCAAAAAGGTCCTGGGTTCGGCGTCCATATCTTCTGCTTGGATACAACGACATATTTTTCGCAAAAAGGTCTCAGATAATAGGTACCCATTCTCAAAAAATTTATTCAATTCCACTTGCACCGTAAAAGTTGTTCAAAGGAGTAAGAGATTTCAAGCTAAAAAAGAAATTCCGTTCTAGGCCAATGGAAACACCGTTCCGAGGTCACAGGGAGAACATGAGAACAGACGCGCGAGCTCACTTTGATCCCGTCACTATGATGGGTCTGTCAGAAGCCTCTCACCGCACCGACCACCCTCACTTTGACATATTTGAGTGGTACCCCCGCTATCAAAGCTGCCAGCGGTACTTCCTCGATCACGCTCAACATAGCACTCCCGTTCAGGCATTGTCCTCTTTCCTTAATATCTATCTCCCTTTTCAGAGACAACCGAACCCAATTTTCAATTCGTCTACTACAGAAGGCCCCTCAATACACACACAATCTCCATCTTCCTCGCTTCGCCAACTTCATGCTCCTCCAGCCGTTTCCCTAGTGCCATATATTCGCCGCCTGGTTGCGACTGGCATGGATTTTCCAGGCGTTCTACATGGATTCTTTGGTGATGATTGGGTTTCTGGCGTTGGTCATCTCCATGAACAGGAACGACGAAATTACTTATTTGCTGCAAAAAGCGGCGGATGGGCCTCAGTAAAGCAAGGCTACGATATGCCACCTCTGGAAACAATACCATTTCTGCGACCTTTACAGGGACCTGTAGACGCTGAAATCGAGACTGCGGAAAAACTCTGGAGTGAATGGCTTGCGATGGAGGACTGGATGGTTGGGCCTCGAGCTCCCGAAACCTTCAATGGGTCTTCAGTGCATTCGCGACCAAGAAGCTCATGATCATGATGATTTTCATTTCATTTCATTTTATATTATTTTTTTTTAAAAAAAGTTTTACATTTTCCTACACATTCATCCTTGGTTTTCGGCTTTCCTACATGGTCTCTGTGCTTGTCGATTTTAACGATAATGGGTCCGGAGGCGTTGTATCTTCCCAATTTTCTTGTGTCTTGTCTCCTTTGTATATGGCAGCTTTGCCCCTTCTTCATGTTTATTTGGCATATGAAGCTCTGAAACTATGAGGTTGAAACACAGGCCGTTTCGAGTCATTGTGTCTGAATTCCCTAATTCCTTTAAGCCCGTTTCAAAAATGGTGTCTCTCCGACACCAACATCGACTGGTACGGTCGTACTCGCTTTGATTTAGAGTTTAGAGTTAGAGTTTTATCCCCCACGGAGAAAACCTGAACTTCGAGAAATATTCGCTTTCCAAAAGCATGAAGCCTAGGGTATTTTGTTTTGTTGGTACCTGTACATACTCCTGATGTTCTGCTCTACCGGCCCCATACTTATGTGGACGCATCCTTGATGGTAAAAGTTTAAGCGTATTTTTGCTAATTTCTCTTCTGTTCCTTTGATGCCATCATCTTTTCCTTAATGACTTTTGTATTTCGTTTATCCCCTGCCTTTTAAATTGACGGCACTTGGAAAGAGAATCAATACTTGAACAATTATAAGTAATGGGCGTACAGTTTGAATGTGGGTTTATTAAAAAAGCTGAACATGGTTTACAATATAAGCCATGACACCCCACCATTAACCCTAATCCTAATCCTAACCCTAATCTACCCAACCGTTAAGGGCGGTGAGGTTGAATAGAGATGCATGGATTAGTAATATATGGTGTTGTGCGGAGTATGGTAGATCCGTATTTATTTTAGATGGGGGTTACCAGAGTTGATCATGGTTATAAAAAAGTGGGCCCAACTTTTAAACCATGTTCAAACTGTAACCGTATTGCCCTTTGCCACCGGTAATACTGGCAATTTCAACTTTAGCGCAACGATTGGCGGCTTGCGCGGTTGCACGATCATCCGTCCGCGGCAAGCACGGATAGCATATTTTATTATCCCGGTAGGTCGTTTCTCGTTTGACATTTCGTTCAAAGAAAGCATAAGGGGCAGTGGAGGTTTGGAAAAGAAATCACACATTATAACCAAACTCCTCCAAGGAAAATCTTCCATGATTCTGAAACATCTTGGTAACATGATGCTATCATTTATCACTGCATCTGAAATTTATAGTTACGTGAAGAACTAAACACCTTCTGATTATTTTTGCAGGCATATCTCCAAATGAATTCAATCATCTTAATGGATTTACATACCTAATGATCAAGATACGTACTTTCTTTGACAACTCTGAGCATCCCACACATACACATGATAGTGACAACGGGTCATTTGATAAGCACATTAAATCTTTCTCAAGCTGTGATAATTCCCTCAAGCTTCCAAGGATTGAAACAAAGATAGATCTAGCAACTAACTTTTCCATGTGTTTGAGATGAGAATCATACATGTCCCATGTATTATTCGAAGCTTAATTGGGCATCACACATACACATGCTAGCAACATTGGGTCATTTGATAACCAATAACTCACTTTTGAGCTTTGGTAATTACCCCAAGCTTTCAAGAATTGAAACAAAAATAGATCTAGCGACTAACTTTTCCATGTGTTTAAGATAAGAATCATATATGTTCCATGTATCATTTGAAGCTTAACTGAGTATTCACAGATACACATGTTAGCAACAGTAGATTGTTTAATAAGCATGTCAAATCTTCTTTGAGTCATGGTTATTTCCTCAAGCTTTCAAGAATCGAAGCAAAGATAGATCTAGCAACTAACTTTTCCATGTGCTTTAAATGAAGAATTATACACCCATGTATCATTTAAAGCTTAATATACATGCTTAGACTCATTATTATCACTGCAAAACTCTAAAAATTGGATTCTGAAGTGTGAGGTTGCATTTAAAGATTTTCTATTTTATATTTCTTTGGAAACTTCTTTAAGGCAAGGTATTATTCATACTTAGCATGAAGTTTCTCTGTTTTAGCACTTGTCAATTGAAAAGATCAAATCAGAATTGTCTTTGAACAGTGTCAACTGTTTATGAAAAGTTGATATGCAGAAGCAGTAAAATGAGATTTAAAAATATAAATTCAAAAATCAATAAATTCAAATCATTATTAAATTTAGTAGCTATAATAAAAACTTCATTCTAAATGAAATTAAAACTTTTGATAAATATCAAAAATATATAAATTTTGCAATGTTTTACAAACTTGAAAGAGTAATAATAAAGCAGTTAAACTAACATGACATCTGCAGTTTTGAATTCACATTAAAGCGTTTAACTCTTAACTATCTCACTTAGTGCACATTTTAATTATTGAATTATTGTTATTATGATATCATCTACTATTCAATATTCAATATTTACATTTGATATTTTGTTCTAGTTATATAGTTTTATATATGTAGATATTTGCAACATTTTTTTTTTTTCAACTATTAAATGAATATCTTTAAGACACAAAGCAAGACACTTTAGTAATGATAATAAAAAATAAAAAATAATATTATTAACTCAAATACTTTTAATATATTTTAATATAGATAAATACTAATTATTAATTAATAAAATTTATATTATAAAATTTTCAAATTACTAAATTTAAAATTTTATTATATAATAATAAGTGAATAATATCATTAGATAAATTTAATAAAAAGATAGATAAATAATAATTTATTTTTAATTAAATGAAATAATATTATACTATAAAAAGTTATAAAAAAATAAATATAATTAATTCTTTAAAATAATAATTTTTTATCAACTTTAAATTTAACTTTAATTAAATAACTTAAAATAAATATTATAATAATTAATTAATATATAAAAAGAGAAAAAATAATTTTATATTTAAAAAATATTATATAAAATAATAAAATACTGTGATATATAAAGTTATATAATATATAAATTTTTATTTTATTTTATATTATTTTAATAATTATATTATTAATTAAATAATTAAATTTAAAAATATATATAATATTATTAATTTATA